CATTTGTAGTGAAGAGTTTACCAAAGTAAATTTCCCAAAAATCTGTTAATTGGAGAAAAACTAATTTCCACAGACTGAACTAATAAAATCTGAAGTAACTTGCAGTATTAACAAGCAGCAACAAAAATTATTAAATAATACCAGTTAGCTTAGTCCTACAAGCTTTTGAAAATCCTGAGGTGAAGTTCAAGAGCGACAAACCATTTTCGCACTGCTTGATGCATCCCATCTTCCCAAATTTTGGTTGCAAACATCAGCAAGAACAGCTATTTGCTGTTCTTTTCTATCTGCTGGCTTGCATAATTATCTACAAAAAACTGTGACCCAGTTCACAAAAGCATTTGAGTACCCATTTCCCTTATCTCCATGATTTCATGCCAAAATCTTGCTGACTTTAAGCAGATTTTAAGTAAAGGTTAAAAGTCAAGTACCTTTCTGAACCAAAGCCTGGAAAATTTCTGCAGTGCAAGCTTCACAAGAACAAGAAAAGTTTGGCAGTTTACAATAAAATCAAATATTTAACATTAAAATTGTTTTTATCTAAATAAATTCTTTTTATAAAGTATCCAAAATATTTGTTTCATTATGATTCTCATCTATGTCACAACTTTAGAAGAACAGTTTACTGTTCTCAAACCATCAGTGACAATCTATTACCTTAAATTTTTCAATGTTTTTTCCAAAAAGTATATTAGTGCCAACCTCCAGCTGAAGTCCGTTTCTCTCCCCAGAGTAGGATTTGGTAGATTTATCAAATCCGGAGGCTTTTCATTTTTTTTTCTATTGGAGTAAGTTCTAAATCACACTAAAGCACAACAGTGTAATTAAGATGGCACATTACACTGATGTTTGCAGAGGGACTGAATGCTGATGGCAGACAGGACAGTCTCTGTAGAAGCCTTCACTGGCTGTCTTGTGCATAGTCACAAAGAACAAGATCAAATGGAAAGCTGTTACTTACTACTCACTCACAAGTTATGGGAAATGAACTGAAATACTAGTTTGCTTCTCTAGGGACATCTTTAAAGAATTAGGGAAAAGTAAGCAGAAAATCTCCACACAGTACAGTTTTAAAAGGGGTGGACAACCAGCAGTACTAAAGATTCTGTGGAGTCTTTATCATAAAAGTGAAGTAATAAGCTGTGCTTATGCAAGAATACTAACTTCCAGCAATCTTATTGGGTAGCTCCTGTTCCAGACACTTCCTCTGCTAGAATCTGAAGATTGTCATCATCTCCTCAGCATTTCCAATCTTACATCTATTGCTGATCACCATAAATTGACCTTTATGTAAACACTGCTTTTCATACTAAATAGAATTTTTCTTATTCTTGAGAGTCTGAAAGGAACAGCCATATGGAATACATAGTAGATGACTAAAACACAAAACATCTTGATGCATCTCTCAATTATAAGCAAATGATGATTTCCCCTTTAAAAATTAAGAAACTTGCCAACAACTGCACAATGGTTATATGGAGTAGCTGTGCAAACAGGTAGAAAGTTAAAAAGACAACTACTGAACTGCCTGAATTCCTATCCTGCTCATTGCCTGGTAAAATAAAACAAGAGTAAAAATAAAAACCAAACAGACCAGCCAGATTTCTAATAGCAGCATATACAACAAAAAAGCACGGTGCAACCAGATCTATAAAACGAAGGCCCAGCCAAGGAGCTAGATCTACCTAATCAAGTATCTTCTACAGTTTGGCATCAAGGGCACGTCATATTCCACCTGCAAATGACAAGCAAGCGTAATAATGTGTATCTTATCTCTCTAGATGAATGTACTCCTGAATACAGCCATCAGGACTAGGGCAGTCTCGTATTCCTTTACTCAGCACTGATGAGGCCGCACCTCAAGTGCTGCATTCAGTTCTGGGCCACTCACATTAAAAAGGGCTTTGAGGTGCTGGAGCCTGTCCAGAGAAGGGCAACAAGGCTCGTGTAGCATCTAGAGAACATGTCTTATAAGGAACAGCTGAGGGAGCTGAGTTTGTTTAATGTAGAGAAGAGGAGGCTCGAGGGGACCTCATCAGTCTCTAAGACTACCTGAAACAAGGTGGTGGTGAGGTGGGGGCTGGTCTGGTCTATCAGGCCTACAATGAGAGGACAAGAGAAAATGGCCTTAAGATGAGACAGGGGAGATTCAGATTAGATACTAGAAAAAAATTTTTCCCTGTTAGGGTGGTCAGGCATTGGAATAGGTTATCAGGGAAGTGTAGAGTCACCATCCATGGAGGTGTTAAAGACTTGTCTGGATCTGGCACCGGCTGATGTGGTTTAAGGGTTACAGTGGTAGTGCTGGGTGGATGGTTGGACTTGATGATCTTAAAGATCTTAAAGGATTCTACGATTCTATGTTTTCTTTCCATTTTTTCAGTCCATCTACCTTATCCTGTGATGGAGTAAGTACATGCAAAGCACTGACAGACTCAAATTCAAAGCTCAAAAACCTACTGGTATTGCACTTTTTCTTTCAGCATAAAATCATTCATTTCCGTAACACAATTAGCTTAAGATTTTTGGTCTTTTGAGACAGAACAGATTAGCACCGTCAAGTAACTAACTCAACTCTCGCTGGAGGGATAGATAAATCCTTGTAACATGTAACCCAAATTCCAGCTAGAGAGATGCTGCTCTGGTTTCAAAGGCAATCTAGCAGCTCTATTTCCTACCTAAACTTCCTACTTAAACTAACACAATATAAACATCTAAAGAAAGGAAAAAAAAAATTCCACCAAAATATTTCTTAGTATTATGCAAATGTCAAATTACAATTTACAATCTTCAGAAAGTTTCTCCAACAGTATTGTAAGCATTTAGGTTTACAGATTTCAGCAAGTCACTAGTTTACAAAATATTAAGTGGTCAAATAAATGCTAAGGATAAACAAAAAACCTAGTTACACTGCAGAAGATTAACATACATGACTGAGTTGAAGAAATATTTACAAATATCCCTTGTAAGAACTCCGTCTAAGAATGGAGGGCTGAATTTAAGCTAGAAGTACTGTACACAATGTCGCAATGGACAGTGCCACAGCCAGAGAGCACAGCTGGAGCAGCACTGCTGGTACCAACACACTCAAAAGCTCTCACTTCACCGATCGCAGTGTGAGGCAGCTGACAACATGATTCTTGTATTTTTTTCTCTGGTCTTCAGGAAATAATTTGGCTCGTACAACACATTAGGGTTGAAGAGCTATGACAAAAATGTTGTATGTAAATGTTCTATCATTCTCAATATGGCTAATTTATTTCTTCTGGAGCTTTTCCTATAAATCTTTAGTTTATCCTTGAGCAAAGCAAAATACTTCCACAAGACATGATCATGATCTTAAGACAGATAAACACCATCAAGGTCATTAAAACCTAACTGAGTAATTCTTAATGATAACCACAAATTGTAGATACAGAAAAAATTAGTCTGTATAGATTTTCTTAGTCTTTTTTGACATGAAATTTCTTCTAGATGCTTCATATTTATGAAGGAAAACAAGGAGAGGTTTTTTCATGCTTTACTGCTCATTTAATAAAAGATTAACTTTTACTGCCTTCACAGAAATTGGCTGAATAGTTACCCAAGCTACACAAACATCAATACCTTCATTTTAGCTCCTTCTGATCTTTTTTCAGAAAAATCTTAAATTCAGTCTTTGCTCATAAATGAAGTAGTATGAAAAACTAATGAAATACATTAATTCATTTAGATCAGTAGAGAAGAAGCAAGACATATCATAGAAAGCAAAAAAGTTGCCATTATTTTTCCCTTTTGTTTCCTTATAATTCAAAAGGGGGAAAAAATCAAAGGGCTTGTAGTTTCAACAAGGGGAATATTCTTTATTATTTCCTTAAAATCTAGACAAAATACCCCAGAAGTAGTATCAAAAAAGTGTGATCTACTACTTCCTTTTCTGTCTTAATTCATGCAGATCGAGTTCAATAGTTCTCAAACTACTGAATTTTCAAACTTTAAAAAACCACACCTTCTGAATGGTTGAGCTTATAATCTCGAAGTATGAAAATAAATAACTAAAATACCATTTTTTCTTATTGTTTTTCTTAATGTTGTAATTATTTCATATAAATCAACTTTTCTGGGGACATTTTTTATAAACTACAGATTACAAATACACAAAATTAATACTTTTTATAAGGATTCTCTTTTGTTTCTCTCACTTTGTATCTCCTGCTCTTTAGTTTTTCAGCTGCAGAAGTATTAAAGTATAAAGCCTTTTAAAAAAAAAGGACACAAAATAACATATTTTCTTCAATAGTCTTACAAACTCATAAAAATCCAGATATAAAACTTAGTCTTCATACATCTCAGAGATGTACACGTGCATTAAGTGTGCACAAGCAGAAATAAAAATGTTCACTCCACCGAGAAAACACAAACCAAGACAAGATTATGAAATTAATTCAAAACCTAATGCTACCATAGACAAATGAGTATTTCTGAAATTTCTTATTTTAGTGATTTTTTTAATTTTCTGATTTTCTTACTTTACTGGTTAGTTAGCCATAATGTAACATTCATGAAAATTCTGACTTTTAACAACACTAGCTGTGTCCACCAACAAATTTTATTTTATCAGAGAAGCAAGAATTTAATAATTCTTGTGAAATCTCAGCAAACGTTTCCTAGTTCAGCAAAACCCTTGAACTGACTGCAGTCAGCAAGAAACAGAATACTTCAGTAGTGCTATCACTAGAAAAGAGGATGTAGTTCTACTTCTCCTGCCCACTAGACCTTTTATACAAAGAAGGATGATATTACTTTTATACAAAGAAGGATAATACTAATCTTCTAATTTTGTTTCACAAGAGAAACTCTTTCTCTAATGAGAATTCATGGAAAGCTCCTTTTAGGAGTTGTCATCTTCTACCTGCACGATCTACATACTTTTTGTTTTAGATGTATAATTTTGCATGTTACAACACTTAAATTAGCATGGCCCTATAGGGGTAACAGAAACAAAATAATCTCTCTCCTACCTTCAAAAGCTGCTTGCCAATTGTTGGACTCATTTTTTCATCCACCATAAGAATTACTATTCCTCTGTCATCCATACCTCGGCGACCTGCACGACCTGACATTTGAATGTATTCACCAGAGGATATCTAGTATAAAATGAGAAAAAGAAATCAACAAACATTAGAAAAATAGCAAGAACACATAAAGTGTTATTGCAATTACATAGTCTTTAGTCTGAACCAATGTCTGCCACTAATCTTCTTAGCATCTTCCATGAACTTTTGATGTATCTATTAAATGACTTCACAGATAATGTGAGGAACCTTGTCTTTAGGAATTTGTACCCCAATTACAGATGGATTAGTGTAGTGGTTTTGAATCTAGGCCTTCCTTGGTGATCAGGTTGTAACCAAGGAACCAAGGTCATGTTCCCAGTATTCCATTCGATTTTACGTAAGCAAGAGTATAAATAAGGAGAGAGAGGAAGCTCTTGCTCTCTTTCTTCCGGCGGACCCAAGGTGGAGGTAACTCTACTATCGCTCTGCCCGGGTGAGGGAGTGAGGCCTGGCGTGTCTGGTTGGCCTTGAGAGGCGGACAGTGCTGTGGTAGCTGTGTGGTGTGGCTCGCTTCCTCTCGAGGGGAGTATTTAACTTTTTATCCCTTTTTGTCCCTTTTGTATCCCTTTTTGTCCCTTTTTCCCTTTTCCCTTTCCCTTCCCTTTCCCTTTTGGGGAGTTCCCTTTGGTTGGTAGTGTGTATATAGTTTTCTTTATGTATATATAAATTTGAAATTTATTCGGTTTGGGTTCTTTTGGTTTTTTTTTCAGTCGGTTGGGAGAAAGTGAAAGGGAGGGGGAAGGTTTTGTCCCCGGGGTCCAGGCACTTGGCTGGGAGCCAAGTCCAACCTGGGACATTTTTTGGAGGTTCCACTGAGATTACCAGTAGGTTGTTTTGGTAACAATTTCTGGGCAGGTGGCCAAGTTCTGCCAAACATTGCCTTTGTTTGGGAACAGTGCTGGGATTGCAGCCAAGAGGGATTTGTTTATATAAATACACCTCTTGTTTAAGAACAGTGAGGACAACATATAAATAATGGCCACTTTCCTAATTTTCAATGTGCTTTTAGCAGCTTTTGCATCTGTTTTAGGTTACTACATGTGGGACAATCCAAATCCAACAGTGTTCAATTGGAGAGACATTTGGGAAAGGTATTCTTCCTATCTTGACATTAAAAGTTGGATACTAGAAATTCCCAGACTGACTGTTGCCTCTAATAATTATGTAAATTGTGTGGCAACAATTTTGTTCATGATGAATGTGATGAACATACTATTTAAAATCGGAAGAATTGTGTTACGCTGGTTTCCTTGTTTTAGGAAAGGCCGTACTTCAAAGGGATTACCTGGAGCTTTGGAAAGGGGCTTGAAAAGGGCAGTTCCTGGTTGGCAAGGAGCATGGGAAGAGTTTGGTAAATGGATAGGGCGCTTGGCACCTCCCATTACTTGGGACTTCACGCCAGCACAGGCCTTTGATCCTAATGAGATAACCCGTTGTTTAATGGAGGGTTGTCTTACATACAAGGATCCAAATACCCAAATCTCTGCTCTATGTTGGGGCCTGGCTAGTGCTTACCGAGCCGCTGTAGATCATGTTCA